GGTGTTGGGACTTCGATTCGCATTTGGGTTCATTGAAATCTGCGAGCGGCGTCGATTTTGAGTTTGTCGACGGTGCAATGAATGTTGTTGCATTGCATTCAGTTTTCAGGGCATTTGTTGTTATTGCTGCGGTTCATACTTTTGTGTTTTTGTCCATTGTTTCGAATTTTGCTGTTCAAGCAGCAGCATCAACAGCAGCCGCCGCCGCAGCAGCAGCAGCCGCAGCAGCAGCAGCAGTAATAGCAGCAGCATTGGCGGCAAACAAGCAAAGCAAGAGAAATAGCTTGAAGTATGTATATAGTTTCAAAAGTGCCAAAAGCACTTTGACATTGGAATGGGTAACTTCAAACAGTGGCACAAAGATCAGAGAAGCGTTAATGATATCATTTGGATTCATGATAAATTCAATAGTGAATACTGTACTTGAAATCACGAGGTGCTAAATGCTTTTTCTTTTGAACTTCTTCTTATGTGTAATAGCCTTGTCAATTTAATGAAGAAGATACATATGTATATATATATATATATATATATATATATATAATAGTTACAATGTTTAGCGTTGCGTTTAAGCTTTGGCTTTAATATAGTAATTAATGAAGCTACCGACTACAAATTATTTCAAGCATAGCCCTGAAAATCTTTATTAAATTGTAATTATACACATTTTTATAAATGAGTCACAGATTTAAATAGATATTAATCTTTGTGAACATTTAAATATGCATATGTCGAGGCATACGTACAGAAGTCAGCAAATTTAGTAAATTGCTATTTCAAATAATGTACATAAGCAAAAGCCAATCATTTAATTTTATACAAACAACAATTGCAATCAAATTGTCATTAACTATAACTACTATAACCATCGCAAATGATACTGCGATTGCCATCAATATTAATAACGGAATTCTTATGAAAAATATTTGTTCATTGTTAGCAGTGATTATCACGGAACTTGCGTTATAAATTTTGAATTTATAAACTAGTAGTTCGAAGTAGATATATAGTATAAAATAGTCACTTGTTTGAATTGATAATTAACTCAATTAAAAGCACTTCAGCGGAAACCAGCCAAATACCTGTGTAAATAATGATAAGTTAGATCAACAAACACACCTATAAAAAATGATCAATTTAAAACAGTTAATCTATCGTTAATTGTCAAAATATTCATTTATGCAATTGGCTATTAAATAAGCTTTGCATTCTTTAAATTAATATTTATGACTGCTGGACTCTTTGCATCGGTTTGGCACACTGTGCAAAATGTTTCAATTAGCTGCGCTTCGATGTGCATCGCCAATGGAAGTTGGTGTCGACAACAAGCAACAGCAGAAGAGGCAGAAGAAACAGACAACAGTATAAATAACAACAAGAACAACAAGATGGAGATGGCAGCGCCTGCAGCTGTGGTCTATACTTAAACAATGTATAAATTCGCATACAAAATCGACCCCAGAGCAGAAGCCTCACACCCCAAAATCGAAACGATAGCCAAAGTAGCCGGGAAATCGTGGAGTGCGTTCGGCGTTGGTTGGCGTTGGTTGGCGTTGTGGCTGGCAATGTGGTGCAATCAGTTACTGTGGCTTTCTGGCCGACATTGCCAGCCATGTAGTTACTCAGTCAGTCAGTCAGTCAGTCAGTCAGCTTGGCAAGCTGCCCATCCACCCGAGCATACAACGTCTACCTGCCGCCGCCGCCCACCTCTCACCTCACACAGCTTTCGTCATTCATACGAATGAGTGCGCGCCGAGCCAAGCGTCGAAAAATCTCCACAATTGGTGTGAAATGCAACATGCTAGTTGGCCAGCTGACTGACTGACTGACTGACTGGTTGGCTGGCTGCCTGGTTGGTTGGTTAGCTTGCTCGCTGGCTGGCTGGCTGGCTGACTAGCTTGCCGGTTTCCATTGCAAATATGGGTTAATTGTGCGAGACTTCGACACTCAAATTATTTAATGTTCAGTTTCGTTTCGTATTATTTGCCCTGCCACGCTTCAGGCCCCATTGTTTGTTGTTTATGTTGTTTATGTTGTTGTTGTTGTTGTTATTGTTCTGCCCAGCATGCATTCGTTTCGAATCGCTTTCCTTACATTTATTGCATGTGTCTGGCCATTTTCAAATAATATGGACATACATTGAACTTGCTGATAATCCTGTAAATTATTCATATAATTGTCATATAATTTATTTTCCATTTTCATTATTAGTAATGGCTTTATTTTTGTTTACTACTGGGTTTTTTTTTTTCATCTAGACTTATACGTTTTCAAATTGTGCGCAATTAAAATTCCACAACGTCATCGACATGCGCGCTACAATTAAATTCTATTCAAGACTTCTGTCCAGCTCACAATTGTACGAGTATTGTGTTTCTATTTCGCTGAGCTTGCAATTTAATTATCTTGTTGTTCGTACGAGCACCACTTGACCGAACTCCTCCAGGAATGGGTGCACTTAACTGAAAGTATATATTACAACATGTAAATATATTTAAAATATTAATTATTATATTGGCGTCATGTTTTCATACAAAACATTACAGTATATTATGCACAAAAAGTTGTTGAAGAGCTGAATGGTTTTATATAGTTTTATATATATAGTTATTTTGATGGCTCTAAGCGAATTGGATTACTCCATCATAAATTTCATATAGAAACGTTTGAATGCGCTCTGCACTTTCAAGTTAGGTGCTCTTCCTTCTTGGTTTGATGTAGACCTGTTTGTGAATCGTATATTTTAAGCAGAAACTTCAACCAAGTCCTGCGCTTTTAAAATCACTCACAGAAAAAATGCATACAAGAGTGAAGTGCTCGTTTTCGATATTATTCTATAATTTAATATACAATTCGAGGTTTGAATTTGATTTAAATAATTTTGCTCTATAAAAATTGAATAAATTAAATATATGACGTTTTGAAATGTAAAGAAATATTTATTCATTATTCAGTTTATGCAAGAATTGATTTAAATGTGTTTAAAAAATATCGCGTAAGTCTTTTAAATAAATGTGTACATATCAATAACGCACATAGCAATGTCCGTTTCAGAATCCGTTGGTTTTAAATATAAATTCAACCATTTAAATTTGTTTGTGTATACATGTAAATTCCCCAACTCATAGCTTTGACATTTATTTGTTGTTGTTATATTTAAAGTTTTATAAAAATATAAGTTTGCATATATTTGAAAAATTGAAAAAAACGTGTTTTTTTTGCAGTGCAAAGTGATTTATTGCTTTTCAGAATCAAGTAGTTTCATTTCATTCAGACAAATACATATAAAAATGCATTTAAGTAAAAAAATTATTCATGTTTTTTTTTTAATAATTATTTATTATATATGATAAAATCAACATGTGCAATATTTTTAAACAATTCAAATATTTAATTTTAAATACTTCAATATTATTCCACATTAACAAAATATCGTGTAAGCAGCCGACTTTAAAAGTGGATTGCTATTTTAGTACTTTCATTCCCAAAGTTCTTTATTTAGCATTCCTACTTTTCTTGCATATTTAAAACGTACAGTAGCTTCTGTGACCTATACATATATTTTAAAGTTTTTTTTTTCGGGAGCATTAATTAAAAGAGCCCAACAACAAAAATCGAGGGCTCTTGCTTTATGTTGGATTTCGTAGATCCACTTTCTGTTGTGGTTTCACTGTGCCTTATAATATGGATTTTATTAAAATTGTATTTGAGTTGAATTTTCAATTGGGCTTTGCGTTTTTGTCTCGTTTTTTTTGTCAACAGGTGCGTCTGGCACTTCATTATACATATTTATTGGTGCTCTTTCCTTGTCCAATGCCATGCAGAGCACAAAGCCCGAGTGAAGTTTTAATTAAATTTCGTAATGAAATTCGCTTATATTTGATTTTTAGTAGCCACGAAAACAGTCGCATAGAGACCGCCGCCGCGCCGGTTGAACACATTTAACACACTTATCCATTTCAATTGAAACATTTCCGAATTAGTTAGATAATCAAATCAATTCAATCTGTGAGCCGGAAATCAGCCTTAAGCTCAAAATGACCCAACGTCAATCTATGGAAGTGCAGCAGTGTGAAAAGCATGAATTTCTTTCATTGAAAAAATGTACGTAAAAATGCATGTACTTTGTTGAGTTGATATATGCAACAAATTGATAAGAGTGGCGTTATTATAAAATATTTTAAGGACATATGACATCATGAATTTAAAGAATTAAACAATTTTATTTTCACACACCTGTTGACCTCAACTCTGTCGATTTAAACTTCATACGAGGCGAAAAAAATGGCTTACAGCCTATATGTAATTTAATCCATTGCCTTTTTTAAAGCCCCTTTAAAGCCAGTATGCTTAAATTGATAAAGCAAAAAGAATTATACATATGCTCTACAAAAGTTATTCAATTTCGACAGCAATTGGTACAAATGGGCTTTAAGTTTTTGCAAGTGAAATGAAAGTGTTGCACAACAGGAAGTTTCCGACTTGTTAATTGTTAATTAATCGCTTAAATAATTGCCTAACAATGATGAAAAAAATAAAAGATTAAGTATATTAGTCACACAAAATAATCTTTAAGTTGAAGAGACATTTTTAGTCTTTATAAAAGCATTACTAGCATTTTTCTATTAATTCGATTATTCTCTAAGGAACTTAATTCAAGTGAAAGATGTTTAAATTGTTATTGAGTTCTAGGAGCGTTTTCAATTCACTTAAAAAACTTAAAATTAAAATCTGTGTTAAAAGTATGTTCAGTTAAATAATACCAGTATTCATTTTAATACAATATCTGGAGAATTCTTAATAAATTAGCTTAAAGTAGTTTCCTGATGCGCCTTATCAACTTCAAAAAAATGTCTGTACAAACTGTTGAAAACTACATTTACATTTAAGATTTAATTACATACTAAAAGGGTCTCGAGTAAAAGTTGTTTTTGATTTTAGTGCAAATACTTTCAAAACAATCGCATTAATTTCCTGATAATTTCTGGTTTTGTTTGCAGCCCGACATAAAAACCTTCTGACCACGATGGAGGATGCGAAATTAATGAACATTCGAAATGGATACACAAAGTCCTTGGACGATCACTGTCAGCTTATCACTGGCATACAAGGTGAGTGACCGAAAGACAAGTGAAGGGCACTGCCACGGCCAGGGTCACCTGCCCCATGGCCCGGGATCAAGTTCATTGCATGACCGCAAAAAAAAAAAAAGAAAAAAGAATGTAACTCACTTACAGACCGAAAGCAAACAAGTAACCTGTTTTGGTATTTCTTCCAAAAAACAATAAGCATTCATGAAGAATTACATTTGTCTTCCTGGTCGGGAGTGGGTGGCAAAAATTGTTGAAATTGACAAATTATGTGACAGAGTTTTTGTCTGCGAGAGACAACGACGCCGACAACAACGGCAACAAACGGCGGCTCGCAAATCCAAAGAGCCAACACAATTGTTGACAATTCACTCAAAGTGCTGCTGTTGTTGCTGTTGTCGCTGAACAAATGCCCCAAAGCGCTCAAAAGCTTTAAATGCGCACGCCGCATGCCGCATGTCCCATGCCCCATGCCGCACACTCGCACTCGAAAAAGTGAGGCCACGCGTTTGGTGGGGCCCCGGCAGCTCAATTCCGAAGCGCTCATAAACAATGCTGGCTGGCAGTTGGGTGGCAGTTAGGGGTTAGCTTGGGGTGGTGCCGTCGAGTATGTGGGGTTTTTGGCGGCTCAGTTTCGGCTTGGCGCGATGAGAAGTGCGCTTGAGTTGCATTTAAGCCAATTAGCATAGGTAAACAAAACATTTGAGTGAGCGCGCCAAGTGCTTTTGGTTTGAGTGCGACCCCAGGGGGTGTCTGCCGCTAGGCGAGTGGAAGGGCGATGTGGGCTGGGGACTGGGGGCTGGGGGCTGGTAGGTGATGCTATAAGATGAACAAGTGTCGGCTCGAGGTGTCAGCCAGTATTTGTATGAATATGAATTTGTTGGTGTGGATGAGTGTGTGTTTGTAAACGCTTGATGCCGTTGCGTCCGTTGCCAACAGCAGCAGCCAGTGGGTGACTGGGTGGTCTCCATTGTAAGTCCTTAACATTGTTGCACTTATTATGCAATTATCGAGTGGCCACAGTGTTTAAGTGTGTGTGACTAGCCTGCATTAGACATGCAGCTTGACAGAGATTTACGTCGTCGATTGCCAATTAGCCCACAACAACAGCAGCAGCAGCAGATGGACTCAGCCAGCGGCAGCACCTTGAAGACAGAATAATGTCTACATACATGCTCTACACTCAGAAAAATAAATCGCCAAATCAAATGAATTTCTACAATTATAACTATTCGATTTAATGATCCAATCTTCATTATTTGTTGTTCTAACGCGAGGAGTATTATAAAATGCATAACTGCCGAATTCGGTACGAATAACTTGGCAAACTAAAAAGATTTTCATACAATAACTCATATTTCGCACAGTTCCTATGGCGAAATTAAAGATGGTTGGACGGGAGAAGGAGTGAATGGTCATCTAACAACAGTGGAACTTCCTACACGTTCCACTCCTGTTAGATGACCATGCACTCAAAAATTAAGGCTTGCCTTTATACACAATACAAAATAATTATTGCTTTAAATAAAAAAACATCATATTTTTTATCTACCGATTTAGGATAAGTATTTTTAAGGTTGAGAATATGTTTTCCATGTATATAGAAACTATTACTATCTCTCCAGTTTTCAGTTCGATTTTCCGAGTGTATACATTTAGATATGTATTTGTGTGTACAAATGTGTGTGTATGTAGGTGTGTGCGATTGTGTGTACCATTGTACGATAGATGAATAGCTCGACGAGCTGCTAACTTGCAAATATTTATGAGTGCCCCACAAGTGGCAGGCAGCAGCAGTAGCTGTGGCAGCAACAGCCGACAACAATGTCAGCATTGGCGTTAACTTTGAGTGTTGTTGTTGCCATTTTGACATATGGCCAAAATGCAGCCACATGCCAAACGCTCTTTACGTGTGACTTGCCAGTGACTCTCTGCTGTATGTGTATGTGCATGTGTGTGTGTGTGTGTGTGTGTGTACGTGCTGTGTGTGCGTGCGTATGTGTGTGTGTGTGTGTGTATGTCTGACGGCGTGAATTATGCGCAATTGAAGTGGCTTTTGGGGCGCGCATTTAAATTCGTGACGCGCGTCAAGTGGGTGGCAAACAAGCGTTGAGCATTGGCGGCAGCCAAGTGGCACTGCCACTGCCACGGGGGAGGCTTAAGGGGTGAGGTGAGTGAGGTGGCGCTTGCACAATGATGCGCATCAAATTGGCTAATTGTTTAATGGCTGTTTGCATTGATCTTTGCAGATGAGTCGCCCATGCAAATGTTTTACAAGGATAAAGGCGTCTTCCTCACTGGCGGCACTGGCTTCTTTGGTAAAAGTAAGTTGAACGTGACTTGAATTTTATTATATGGCTGCTGTTGTTGTTGTTGTTTTACTAACGAATTGATTTGTCCGCTAGTTATTATTGAGAAACTGTTGCGCGTCACAGAGGTGGCTCAAATATATTTGCTGATACGCACCAAAAAGGGCAAGGATGCCCATGCACGCATCGAGGATTTGTTCAATGATCCGGTAAATGATTTCTATACTAGCCACAATGCCGAACGAATTACAAATTACAAATTATCTATGTTATCTGCTCCATAGGTCTTTGCCAAAATGAAACAGATCAATCCAAAGTATCGCTGCCAGATCGCAATCATCAGCGGCGATTGTTCGCTCCCGGGCCTGGGCATCTCTCACCGTGAGCGCGAGATAATCAAGGAGAATGTCAACATTGTGCTGCACAGTGCGGCCACGGTGCGTTTTGATGAGAAGCTCAAAATGGCCATTGCCATCAATGTCCATGGCACCAAGGAGATCATCAAGCTGGCCAAAGAGATTGTCAACCTGAAGGTGAGGCTTGAAACACAATTGTAAAGATATAGCTTCCCAATTCATATAATCTGCCCCTACATAATATTTATCATCTGAAGCAAATTCAATAAAATTGGATAAGAAACACAGATTTTGTTAAGCAAAACATGACTTAAGGGAAACTGTGGCAATAAAATTAATGCCTCAGTTTAAGACAATAAATATAATTATGAACAGGGTTAAGAGCGTATCCTAGTCAGGTTCTCTTGCCATAAACCTTCAATTTATTATTCTTTACATCCATGATTTGTCGAAAGTAAGAGCGATAAATATGTCCTGAATGAATTCCACAAGTTAATACTCAGCTATGCTATATTTATTTCAACTAGTTCATAATACCCGTCTGAAAAAGGTTAATCAAAAAGGCAAATTGCCATTGTTTCCTGATTATTTTCATTGCTTGGCTTAATTTAATATCCCTCATTATTTTAATAATTATATTTCTGACTTTCAAACTTGCTGCGATATGTGTGAATTTATTGCAATACATATTGAACAGTTTTCTATAGAATATGCTGTAATATTTTAAGTAGCTTTCACATTTAAACTCTCTGGTATGGTTAAATAAATTCAATAAAATCCTCATTAAGAATAATTGTGCTCAGTGCAAACACAATTAAGCTGAGCATGTGTCCCAATTATTCATGTTCATTGGCGTTGACTTGAATACTCGCTGTTGTGGTCAACATAATAAAAGCTGATTAAGAATACATAATTAGAGCTCGCACAACGCAGTCCTTGTTGCGAACGGTTTTTTTGACAACAGGAGATTAACTCTCTCACTGTAATTAACTCTCTCTCTCTCTCTCTCTAATTCTCTGATAAGGTTAACAAAATCTCTTGTAAGCGTATTAAGAGTAATTATACCATGATCTGGGTCTCCTACGGACTCAATTTGACACAATTAATTTATTAATGTAAATCATTCATTTATTTTTAGCTTGGAACACTCATTATTTAGATCTGTTATTTTTAATTCAATAAAAACAGAAAACAATTATACTGAATGCAAGTAGACTAGACAATCTTAGGCTACTTGGGACACTCATTATTCCTGGTCCTTATTTGTCAGATTGTGCTCTGGAGTCTCGTCATTTTCATTCAGGAATTGTGTTCTTGTTTGACGACCATTTTTTTTTACCCATATTCATGGCCTAATAGTTTCTTACCATATCTGGCTTTATGAGAAGCTTACCAGTATTTTCTATTGAGTTTATATTCGAATACTCTGAATGTCAATTGCCACTACGAGTCTATATAATTTGGCTACAAAGTTACCAACTTTATTGTTGGGAATACATTTATTTAAGAACTATGCACATTGGCATATCAACTGTGAGACCACCATATAGGTATATATTTGAATACATACATAATGTTGTTGCAGGCTCTTGTGCATGTCTCGACGGCATTTGCACACTGCAACATGCGCTACATACAGGAGAAGTTCTACACTGGCATGATGACTGGGGATAATGCCTGCAAGTTGACTGAGTGCCTCGACGAGCACACGCTGAATACGCTGACGCCGACGATTATCCAGGGATATCCGAACACATATACCTACACCAAAGTGCTCGCCGAGAATGTGGTCCACCAGCATGCACAGAAATTGCCCGTTACCATATTTCGACCCGGCATCGGTAAGATACAACTTTTATACAACTTTCACTATGCCTGGCTACTTCATTTTGGGATTTGGGTATTTGTGTTCTATTTTTTTAGTGATCACCAGCTATCGTGAGCCGGTGACTGGCTGGATTGACAATATGTATGGACCCTGCGGTGTCATTGTGGGCATTGGCTCCGGCGTCCTGCGCGTTTTCACCGGCAACATGGACAACAAAGCGCACATTGTGCCGGTGGACATGTGCGTCAATGCCTTGCTGGCCAGCGCCTGGGATGTGGCACGAAATACGTAAGTATTGCTTGCCACACAATCTGACATTTGAGAAAATCAAGTTGCCTCTACTTTAGACTTTCCCAAGTGGGCGCAAAATGTGCTCACACTACTTTAACTTCTAATTTAGTCTATTCGAAGTATAGAAAGGCCTTCAATCAATAGTCGCTTATAAGTTATAAGGAAGTTTATAGATAATTACCTTAAAAATTGTCTGCACTTACGTTGTATTTCTTTTATAAGTTTCGAGATTTCAGAATTTTAAATTCAAAGCTTTTGATTTTCTCTTAAGCCTGGTAAAATGGGTTTTTCTTAATTTAATTGTTATTCGCAAATTTGATACTTTGCTTTTAAATTTTTCATAGTTATTTTCGTTATATAATTCGTACCTAAATATTTTATAAAGAAAATAAATATAATAATTAAAATCTGCAACAATTTTCTCTCTGTGTAGATATGAAACGCCGCCCATATATAACTATGTACCGGATACGGATAATATGGTCACCTGGCGCAATTATATGCAGACGGGCTTCAAGTATGTCAACGATATACCCATGCGCAAGTCCATCTGGTACCCGTGCTTCACCATTGTGCCGCACATGTGGCAGTATCACATACTCTGCTTCTTGTACCACACATTGCCCGCCATGTTCATGGACTTGATTATGGTTCTCATGGGCAAGAAACCGAGGTATGTTTCAATTTAATTGCACTCGCAACACTTGCAACATATTTACTCAAACTGAACGAAACTTTCTTCATTTGCAGAATGTTGAAAATCTATCGCAAGATACACAAGTTCAGCAACGTTCTGAAGTTCTTCAGCTCGAATGAATTTCGCTTTGACAACGATAACGTGCGGAATTTGGTTGATAAACTAGATGTGAGAGACAAGCGTCTGTTTGCCTTCGATATGCGTGATCTTGACTGGAAAAATCTATTTAAAGTCAGTTTGTATGGGCTGCGGCTCTATGTTGTTAAGGACGATCCCAACAATCTACCCGAATCCATTAGACGTATTAAACGGTAAATATCAAAGGCTTAAATCACGTTCATGTTTTGAATTATTCATTTATCTTACATTCTTTTTTTATGTTTGTTTCAACAGCATGATGGTTCTACATTATTGTACGCTGGGCATCGTCTATTCGTTAACACTTTGGGCGCTCTATGGACTGGTGAAGCTTATATTCTTTTAATCTCCATAGGGTATCCGATGTACTTGTGTTAACGTAACAAAATGGGAAGTTCTCCTGTCCATTTGTATTGTCACAGCATCATTTTCAGTTTCGGCGTAGCTTAGTTCTAGATTTAGATCATGATTATGTTTAGTCCTACGGTTACAGCGCTCTATCCGATATCTGTATAGTTTAGTTTTTAATTGTACTACTGCTCAAGTTGATTATATGTAACACTCACTGTGTATATATGTATTTATGTACGAAACTAATCGAATCGCAAAATAAAAATCGCTTTATATTTTTTGGGACATGCAAATTTGAGTTGTGTTTTAATTTATTACCTGTTATATGACCATGAATAGGAACAGTTCAACGACAAGAAATTTGTCATAACTAAAAAATTCAAATTGATATGTGTGATTGGAATACCAATCCGTATTTATGCTACAATTTTCTTATCGTTCAGTTTAATCAAATGGCACATCAAATAGTTCTTACTATATTTACACTGTATCCCAATTTAAAACGAACTAATCCAGCAATGAAACTTAAATAAACATTTGTTAGTGCAACAGATTTCTCTTTTGAATGTCATAAAAAAGTGGAATTCATAGAACGAGGATTAAGTCTGGTGCACAGTCAGATGGGATTATTGAAAAACAATGGATGGGGAATCGGTGAAACTTTTTTTTTCCGACAGGAGAATAAACGTAAAGTAATCAATTGATAAACTGTATATGAAATGTATTCACTGGTCAGAAGTACGAGAAGAGATAGCGAGAGAGAACGACAGAGAGAGAGAGAGATAGAGATAGAGAGAGTAAGTTAACGTTGAAATGAAAGCAAAGCACACACAGCACAAAAGTAAAGTAAAAAATGTAGAAACAATAAGATATACTGATTTAGACATTGGCTTAACATTGATATTTTTATTGCATATTTTCAGGCGACGACCATGTCAAAAGGAAATGTCGCAAAATAATGTCAGACCGCGAGAGAGAGAGAGAGTGAGAGTGAGAAATAGAGAGAGTGGGAATGAGCTTATCAAATTGCAAACAGAAGCGGCATTCATTGCCTTCAGCCATCATCCAAATCCTGTAAGGCGCTTTATCGCATCGCACGCACACATGCATATAGAATAAGATACACACACACACATATACACATGCACAGATGTATGTTTATATAGACGTACACACACATATGCACACACTTGCGTTCATATATAAATAAATAAATCCGCTTGTATCACTTTGCAGTGCTGCACTTGTATGATTTCAAAATTAAAATCAGAGCATAACCCAATCACCTCCCAACGCCCCCTATTCCCCCCCACACACCCATACAGACACTGCTTGGAACAACAACAACTATTCGCTTGGCTCGGCCTGAACGGCTCATTCCCAATACAGCCATAAAGCACTCGCACACTCATCAAACATACACGACGCGCTTGTCTATAGGGTGTGTAACGATATGTCTGTGTCTGTGTGTGTGTGTGTGTGTGAGTTGTGTGTTGTTGTGAAGGGACGATGGAACGTTGCTTGTGCACAGCCAGTGAAAAATGTTTGTCAAAACCGCAATGCTGAGCGCTGTGCGCAATGATTGAAGCCATTGCGACGCGTCGCATCGTTATCATTGAGATGCGGATGCGGATGTGGATGCTGTTGCGGATACAGTTGTTCAATTTTGGGGGCCAAGTATGTAGATTTTTCAAAAAATTACGACAGCGTAACGCCCGCGTGTCCAATTAAAGTAAGCGGTGAACAGGGCATGTGTGCACAGAAAGACAGACGGACTGGCAGACAGACAGACAGGCAGACAGACAGACAGACTCGGCTGAGTAATAACTCCCCAATATGTTGCATGGATATGTCTGTACGTATCCATATATATAAATATATATGTACAATATACATATACACATAAATATAAGAATGTGGAGTAGGGGGTGGGCGAAGGGGGTACTAAAATTGCAAGCGTCGCATCACGAACGAGCGAGCAGAACATTGAAAGACCAAACAATCTCAATCTCTCAAATTAGATTTTCAGAAAAATGCACCTCTGGGAAATGCACAATGAAAAAGCATTGCACACACACACACACACAACTACACGCACAAAACACACATACAATCACACACACACACACACACACATCAACAAGAAGAAGCCGAAGCAACTTTGTCGTTTGCTTATCTCGGGCAAAAGCTTTCCGAGCATCTCTCGCTCTCTTTTAGTAGTAGTTGCAGTTCGCTGCTCTCTCTCACTTTCGCTCTCTCTCTCACTCTCTCTTTCGCATTGTCTGTATGGTTCGCCATTACTCTCGCGCTCACGTAGCAGAGCAATAATAACGGCACATGAAGTGTATGGTTATTCAAGGGTTGTTCATTCGTGAAATTAATATTGCGCCAGCCACGATTCGGGGCAGCACGCGCGCCGCAATGTTTATGTCTGACGTCGCTTGTTTTTGCCGTTGCTTTGTTGCTGTTGTAGCGCTGGCGCTGCAGCCGCATATTGTAACGGTTTTTTATGTGCCTTGCATTCTGTTCCACTGGCAATATGCCAAAGCTTGTTGTGTTTCAATTCCACTTGGTTTCAGACACTCTCGCTCTCGCTCTCTGTCTCTCTTTGTATGCGACTCTCTTTAATGTGTTTCTAGCGTATTTGCTTGCATGCTCTTTGCTTTTCAATCTTGTTGTTTTCAACTGTGCTGTGTGTGTGTGTCGGTTTGTGTGTGCGTGTGTGTGTGTGTGAGTGCGCCGGCATTTGCGCTCCATTGCCAGCGGTGGACCATTATCAGATTTTGTAATAGCTTTACGTTTATTACTTTTTTTCAATTTCATCGTCGACGTCTTCGGTATTTTTTGGCATTTGGCGCACTGTCTGGCTGTGTACATATGTGTGTGTGTGTGTGTGTGTGCTGTTAGTTCAATTTATATTTTGAGTCGTTTGTGTATTGCAGTCAATGCTTGTTGAATGTTGTAGGACTAAGTGCATGTTGGAGTTATGTCCTGGTCGCGTTTTGCACGTCAATTAAAAAACTTGACTAGGACATTTTGTTTTTCCAAAGGTACTCACACACACACACACACACAAGTACGGCTGATGTGCATTGTAGACACACGCACACACATTCACTCACACACGCACACATGCTTATATCTGCTTGTCTGCTTGTAATTCCATACTCAGTTTGCTTGTTTTGTCGTTGTTGTTGTTCTTTGTCTGGCGCTTCGTCGTGTGCAGTTAGGTTATAATTATTTAGCCCTGCCCTGTCACTGCTTTTACTACTACTCTTACATCCCCCCACCTTCAACCTTCCCCTCCGCACTGCTTTGCTCTTGCCTGTGGTGGCTGCGTGTCTGTGCTTGTGTGCTGCTATCTCGCTCTCGCTATTGCTCTTGTTCTTGCTCTTGCTTACTCCTTTGCTTGTGTTCTTCTTGCCTTAGTTTAGCGCTCGCGCGCGCATATAATAATATTTTAAATTAATTACAACAAACACGAGTTTGGGTGACAGCGTGTGCTAGTGTCTATCCCTATGTATGTGTGTGTGTGTGTGCGGGTGCGGGTGTGTGTCTGTGTGCTGGCGCGTGCTTTTGTGCTCCTCGCTGCCGCTGCTAGCTGCCTCTGCTAGCTGCCTTTGCTGCTGCTGCTGCTGCTGCTGTTTTGTATGAAAAGTGAATTAAAGCGAATTTAGCGCGCTTCGCCCACGTCCAAAGTGCATTTGTATGTCCTGCACTGCTGCTGCTGCTGCTGCTTCTATTGCTGCTGCTGTCGTCGTCGCTAACTTTATCCTTGGCTGCTTGGCATTACACACACACACACACGCTCACAGACAGTGACACTTTCGCTATTCCAGTGTGTTACTGTGTTTATGTGCTTTTCAATTGCAGCGCATACGTTGCAGCTATCACGTCAACCCCCTCCTCACCCCCCGCACCATCCCTGCCACTCCCACTCCGTGCACACTTCCACACTATTGTCTATTAGGATCTCGTTTGCGCTTCTGTTTTCTGTTCTAGTGCTTCTTTTGAAGTTTTCGCTTGCATTCGCATTTTAATTTGAAGTGCATCATCTCAGTTACCGCCGCCCTCCAGATCCGCCCACTCGTTGCAAGCTCCTTGTAGCATGCGTCTGTGGCCACAAACAAACAGATAAAAACAAACAAACAAGCCGTGCACACACACACACACACACACACACACACACACCGAGCAGCCCACAAACAAAGAAGTGCTTATGCTCATTCATTCATTTCATTTCCCATTACATTTGCCCAGCACTGGGAATATATCCAAGCAGGCAGGCGGCATTCATTGCCACCATCTCGAGCTGCGTTTTCACCTGAACGCCGTGTGCCGCATGCCGCGTGCACGCGGGTCTAACGGGAAAACGCAAAGACCAAACAAAATGGTTAAAAAGCAAACCAGCCCGGCAAGAACAACTACTACAACAACCCACCCGGTTGCCACTTGCGACTACTTTATGCCACTTCAACGCAACTCAATTGCTTTCTTTGCCCTTAACAATGTGTGTGTGTGTGTGTGTGTGTGTGCTGGTGTGTGTGTGGTTTTATTAAAATACTCTGACTCTTTCTTTTACTTGTCTGGCCTTCTCCGGCTGCTTTCCGCTTTTCTTTGCCGTTGTTTGCTGCAAATAAAAATAATGAAAAGCGGCGGCAAATAAAATTTGCACAAATTATATACACATACACATACATATACAAATACGGATACATGCATACAGATATATACAAATATATATTTTTTGTGCTCGCTTTATTTCTTTATTTGCGCAAAATGCATTGAGAAAATAAATAAAATTATATATAAAAGCAACGCGTGCAGCTTTTCCATACACCCTGTAAATCCACTAGGCTTGGTGCATATTCGATAACAACAACAGCAAAAAAAAAAAAAAAATGAAAACAGAAATGAAAACGTTGCTTTTCAAATAGTTTTCAAGCAAAACATTACTTTTTTTTTGTAAATGTTCTTTCAATTAAAAGTTCATAACGATTTGACGAGGCAATGTTTCTAAATACCTCAATATTTTCGTTGCCATTACCCAAACCATTTTTAATTAAATTTAAACAAAATATAATTTTTTTTTCGAATTCAACTAAAAGGTATAAATTATTCGTCAAAGGTCTGCATTCGCGATATCCACTCTGTGCACTTTTGCCTTAGTAACTACCCATTGATAACTGAATTTAACACCAAAAACTGCTTCATAAAAAATGTTACTATTGAAAATTGATGGCAAAATTTGCACCTCGTTTTTCAACACTGTAAAAAGTGACGCTGTCTACCT